GTAGAATTTTCCCACAATCATATGAGTTGAGCTGACGTTTCCATTGAATTTCACATAGCCTTGCTTTCCCCGAATGGTTAGCGTGTCAAGCTCCCATCCTGCACTGTCACGGTTCGACTCCCGCTGGGGGTGTTGATAAGACCCATGCGACGTCAAAACTGCAGTCAACTTCTGTCTGGATGAGAACAACTTTTGGGGAAAGCAATGCTATGTGAAATTGAATGGAAACGTCAGCTTAACTCATATGATTGTGGGAAAATTCTACTATAGTCCTTCATCACCTTAGACGAAATAGGGTGAATACATCTCATATTACTGAGTTACTGGTAGTCTCGAAACTCTACTCTAGGCTAAGTGAGGTTTACTGGCGTGATTGTCGAGAAATTAAAATGTCAGTCATCCACCACCTTTTGCTACTCTTAGTTGTGACTTGATTCCCTAAAGTCTTGGAATTTTAAACCGAGGACTTATTCGCACACCACCAAGGCATCCTCCTTCGGGTTTTGGTGAGGCCAATTTGTCAATCCATTACGCCCGCCGTTTTACGCGCGGAATATACGAATGTCTTGAGTTTCCATACCGTAAACTTTTCACCGACTGTCAATTCCTCTTTATGATCTTTCAACTAACCGCTTCTGTTTTGCTCACCTCCTCATTCACCCCATCACATCTGAGGAAAATTGGTTGCTCCGACCCGCCATTAGCTGGTGTGGATGCAGAGGGCAGTGAAGAAGACAAGTTTGACATGTCAGAAGTCATTCTGTCGAGGCAGCGGCGACGTCGCCAGCGGTAGCGCAGACGGCCACACCTTGGGGGATAGCAGACAGAAGGCCTTGACCAAGCCGACCACTGGCCGAGAGGTGTTTCACACAGAATCCCTACACAAAGTGGCCGGGATTACTGGACGATCAGATAAAAGATCATAGGAGAAATAGCATGCTTTAACGCGGAATAGTTACATCCCAGAAAGTTTGTGGCAAGGCAAAATATGTGAATTGTGTAACTGTCAATTTGCCAAGAAAAGCCCGACTATAACAGCATCTTCTCATCTAATTTGCCTAGATGGGTAGACGAAT